TGACCTCCCACATGAGTGGGGGCCACCCCACGTTTTTGTGCTAGAGATTTACTTAAGGGGGGGGCTGCATGAGGTGTGGAGTGGTTGAGAGTGTGATTGGTTGGCATGGGATTGACTCTAGGTAGGCCCCCCCTCTCAATCAACTCCTAATTGAGACAAAACTCTCCTCTCACCCCTCTCACTCCTACCAGTTCGGCCAACCCACCCCAATCAGTAGCAAGGACTCTCCAACCATCACCCTCCATAGCCAAGAACAAGCTCAAGCAAGGGTTGTTCAAAAGAAGGAAGATTAAGAAGGAAAAAGTGAGGAAAAAACTTGGATAATTAAGGTAATGACCTTATAATAACTTTTCCTCTATTTTTTATTTATGATATGATTTATATATAATATTGAAGACCCCTAGAACAGTTCTACATGTTTAGAGGTGTAGAACGAGGGGTTGAAAGGTAGTTCTAAGTCCAAAACCGGACTTAGAAGCTAAAATGACCGGTTCGCCGGAAAATAACCTTTTAGAGGTTATTTGTGTTGATATGAGTTTTGTGATGATAAAACCATGTTAAGATCTTGACTAAAGTGTCTCTAGAGTTCGCCAGAGTTTCACCGGAGTTTTGCCGGTGTTTCGCCGGAGTTCAACTAAGAAGGGTAGAACTTCTTAAAGCTCATTTAAGGTGAGTGGATGGCTTAATGTCTTGTAACTTCTGGGTTAAGCATGAGATTACCTAAGCAAATGTTATATGTGTTCATAATAATGTTTAAATGAGATTAAACATGTGTTTAGCCAAATTAATTAGACTTGCATGAAATGAACTATTGAAATATGCATGATTTGTGAAATGGAAATGTTTATAAAAACATAGGTGATATGTTTAGAGATAAATGGTGCATAATATGGTTGTTTATAACTTAATGCATGTTGTGATTTAGTTTGACACATATTGGATTTGAAATAGCGGGTCAACTGAGAGTTGACCAGTTGTTCGGGGGCAACCGGCGTCGGTTTGGCTTTTATTGCCTATATATTGATTTTAATGCACGAATTGCATGGATGAATTTGCTTAGGTCTTAAGACTTGGATTAGTCTTGATTATTGATTATGATGTAGACCCTATCTAGTATGATATGTGGTAGATCATAGGTCGGGTGGAGTACCCAAGGATTGGGCAGTATCCTCAAAACTCGGTTATATAGGGTGGAGTACCCAAGGATCGGGTGGTATCCTTAAAACTCGGTTGTATAGTGTGGAGTACCCAAGGATCGGACGTGTATCCTCAAAACTCATAGTAATTCTTTAGTAATTCAGGACCGGGCGGTGTCCTTATGATTATTTGATTTGGACAGGAGGAGTCTTATACACTCATAGGTCTATGGGTGGGGTTGGGGTTTTAAGTCAAGGACATTGACTACTATTACTTTTCCCAAATAAACAATGACCTACGGGTCGGGTATTTCCAAGTGTATATAAGTACTGATATGTACTTTTTGTAACTTGGAGTAAAGATGTATACATATATATATCACCCTATGTTTGGGTCTTACACTTGAAATGTTAGTTACTCTACATTTAGCTTGCTACTCGCTCGGTACTTGTACTGACCCCTTCGGGGGGGGGGGGGGGGGGGGGGGACACCATTTCAGGTTGAAGCTAGAGCTTGTTGTCTACACCTTTGCATGGGTGAAATAAATCTAGAGGAAGACGTGGTCCGTGCTTCCTTTACTGTTTTAAATCATAAACTATGCTCATGGATACTTTTGTAATATTACTTTATTTTGGCCTGCGAGCCTACGTTTTGCCATATGTGGCTTATGATTGACCGATGAATATTTTCCGCTATTCAGTCAATCTATGATGTGATGTTGTTGTGTATGTTTACTTACTGAGTATGGTATGAACGATGTTCATGAACACCTTGTGTGATTAAGTGAGGTTGACTTGCGAGTGACGTCACTTGATCACACGACGGTTGTACACGTGCTTAGATGCGGTCTGGGGCGTGACGGGCGATGACTCCAAGGTATGAGAAATTGATCGAGAGGCTAGGTTGAAGTGAAGTTGGAATTATGAAATTAAATGCAAAACTCTAATATGGAATTGGGGCTAAATGTTGTGGCTCCAAGGTCTACGGTGGCATTTTTTAATTATAGTTAAAAGTCATATTTCGGGATAGAAGTCCTGTTTTAGCCCACTAGTACTATTGAGGCCATTTTTCTAAATTATAACTCAAATCATTCTTTAATTATTTAATTTTCATAACAAAAATTGAATTAATCTAAAAAACTAAGTATATTGCATTTCATATCTAGACATTATTTTTATTTCTGTAATATTTTTTACATTCTTATACTTTCTTTTGTAATATATTTTTTATTATCACATTTTTTATGTAATTTTTTCTTTTACATGTTTTTAGAGGTTTTTTACAATATTGGGTTTGTTTATTTCGATTCCTGAAGCTATATTTGATAATATATGTAGTTCCGTCTTCTTATACACGATTTACATCTTCATGTACGCGAGTTACATCTTCTTATGCGTGATTTACTTGTTCATGTGCGTGCGTTACATCTTTTTATGCGCGATTTACATTCTCATGTATGCGACTTGCATCTTTTTATGCACGAGTCACATGTTTTTATGCATGAATTACATCTTCTTATGTGCATGTTACATTTGGACTTGCCTTAACAAGTTACATTTTACATACACGTAAGCTACATCTCCACCAAACACCGCATCAACGTTGATTTTGGTGCCTCCCACAACTGGCCTGCTCCGCGCCTCCACCTGGATGTGATAGAAGCTGTATTGAACTTCCCCGCTCCTTTCCACTGTACCACCCACCAACCCCGCAATAATAACCGCTCCCAACAAATTGATCTTCCTTCCAAACAATCTAATTATGTGCCTTCCATAGACAAGCTTCAAAGCAAGATTTAACCCACTTCACAAAAGTTGTAGCTTGCCTATGAAACTCACAAAAGTGTGACATATGAAACTCAGCTCTGAGCAAATGACATACCTCTTTCACCACATGACAACCTTTAAACAAGTGTAACTCGTCCTCCTCCTCACACCCATAATTTTTGCACCAAGTTGAATATCTACTCGCCGTCGAATTAAATTGGTCTTTGTGGGAAGATAATCTAACATGACATGACAAGAAACACTTTTTAACTTTAGGTTGAATACAAAATACCTATACGGGTCCAACCAACCCATTTGTCACACTAGACATCTCCTCGGCTCATACGATATCCACTCTTAACTATATACTGTCCTTAGGATCATCATCCCACAAACCCCATCAACCGGTCTTCTCCTACTAATAGGAATACTAAAAGTCGCATCACAATCGGGATAAAAAAAGAGTTCACACTCTAGTCCTATTCCATCCTCCCTCATCCTTCGTTAATAAGGCCACCGCATTCATTTCAAGAATTCCATTTCGTGGTCTAGTAGTAATTATCCCATTTCTAGGTCCGGGAAGCCATTTGTCCTTCCAGACAGAGCTATTTTACCCCGTTCTAATAGTATTTTTAACTGCTAACTTAAAGTTACAATAATTTTCAAAAGTGAAGAAAACACTGGTGTTATATGTTCTGATTTGAGCTAGACCAATAATTAGATACTCCCTCTGTCCCGCTAGAAGGTTCCCACTTTCCTTTTTTGCACGTCCCATTATAAGGTTCTCATTTCCATTTTAGGAAACAATTAACAATCTTAAGTGACAAATTAATCATTAAATATTAAAAATAATACATTTATAACATCACAATTATCAATACTAACTACATTATAATATATACCTATTAAAATTATTTCTCAAAATATACTCGAAGTACTTTATTTAATTATTGCCTAAATAATTGTGTCATTTTGCTATGAGAACCTTCCAACGGGACGGAGGGAGTATTATGTTAATCGTTAACTACTTGTTCACAAATCAGTACGGAGTAAATTATTACTAGACCAAATTTGTATTTTACGTAGTACATTTCTAGACTGGTAATTTTATAGGAATGGGTTCAACCTCGTCCAATTCGTATATAAAGTTTTTAAAACCTAAACAACCTCGAAAGTATTGCTGCTCCGATTGGGCCTAAAAGTGGTAGAACTTCAGGTTTTCGAGTTTTTAAGGGTTCTAGCCAAACCCGACCCGATCCCACCGGAAGGTGTGACTCGTCTGAGACAAGGAAAAAAAGTAGGGGTGGACATTTCGGTTTTCAGTTCGGTTTTCATCAGTTTCGGTTCGGTTTTGGTTTAATCGGTTTGATAGAAAATGTACGAAATACAAACCGATTAAGTTTTGGTTTGGTTTCGGTTTGGTACGGTTCGGTTCGATTTGGAGTTCGGTTTACCAAAGTATTAAGGTTTGGATTGAAATAAAAAAAATTAACTCAAAATAATGAACCAAGAAGCGATAGTAATGAACCAAATACAATGTTAGATATAAATTTGCAAACAGTAACAAAACATTTATGAACAAAAAATATATAAGCATGACACATTTGTATGCAACAACAACAACAACAGGAATGAATCAAATTATATATAAAGCCGAAACAAAAATAAAAATGGTGCTTGTAAGTAATGAACCAAAAATATATAGTAGTAGTAGATAATAAATTATAGTTAAATACTATATACTTAAACCACTATAATTGTTATAGTTGTGAATGTAAGTCTTATAGTAAACTCTAGTCATCGACACTAAAATTAAAGAATTAAAGCTTCAAAAAGATTAACATCAATCAAATTAATGAGAGAAATCTTATATTTTAGTTTGGTTTAGTTTGATGTAAGTTGGTTCTGATTTGTTATTTTAAAAAAATAAGAAATTATTTCATTTTCAGATTAGTTCGGTTTTATGATTTCGGTTCGATTTAGTTCAGTTTAATACGGGTTAGGAGAAATACTATCAAACTCAAACCAAATTACAAATGGTTCGATTTCGGTTTAGTACGGTTCGATTCGGCAAACCGAACCCTTATGCCCCGCTCCCACAAAAAAGTGTGGGTGTAGAGATCCGAACCCGAAGCAGCCCATCAGTTCTCAGGCTAAAACGGCTACTTGGCGTCCCCGCGCCGTCCCGGTCCTCAGGCCGATTCAGGCGCACTAACGGCGACGGAAGGCCGTAGCCGTGCTTCGTAGAACAGAGGTCTCAACACAATGTTGCATGAAATCTTACTCGCACTCTTGGGTTATACGGGAGATCTTATTATTGATCAAAGAGAGCACCAGCGGTCACTAGGTGTTCAGTTGGCCCCCAACGCACCAATTGCGGAAGAAACTACCTTCGTCCTGGCTCCTGATCTGTCCTTCATACAACCCAGTGAAAGGTACAATTTTTCCTAAAAATCTTTATCATGGCATTTAACATAACTATGAAGTCTTACATAGACGAGGACATGAATTAGACACGATACAACATGAAATGACATAAATTTCCACATTGTGTGTATAGTACGAAACAGGGATGTATGAATTGTTAGGTCTATGTTAATAACTTGTTCATTCGTACTTTAAAAATGTTTTCTTATAAAATTTTGGTCAACTTCACTATTCATGCAGGGATGTAATTAAGAAGATAATTGCTCTAGGTTTTTATTACCGAGAACTTGATAGATTTGCAGCTAAGTCGCGGAATTTGAGCTGGATTAGGTCCAACAATGAGTCACCACTGGTTAGAGCTTCTGAACTGTTAAAGGGGAAAAAAGAGAAACAGAGTATTTACAGGAGAGCCATTTCCAATGGGATTGTTGAGGTGCTATCAGTGTATAGGTCTGCTGTTCTGCAAATTGAGCAGAAATTCTTGTCTGATTCATTACCAATCTTATCAACACTTACTCACGGTCTCAATAAGGTTAGTCGGGAGTTCTTACTGATTTTATAAGTGCACACACTAAAAGCTGTTTGCTTTATAATGATATATGACATATATGCAGTATATATATATATATGTATAGCATATTACAGAATTCATATACTGTACATATATTCTGTGGAATATTTAATTAATTTTAAAATCTGTCAGCCTTTAACTTGTATTTCCACTCCTTTCTCTTTGAATTCTCTGACCAATGTCTTTTCGTGTATAAGTTCTTTGTCCTTTTGCCTCCTCTTCACGAGCTCATTTTGGAGATAGAGCGCAATGGCATTTGTGGAGGGAAGCTTCTCAACCTCTTGCACAAACGGTGTCAATGTGGTATTCCTGAACTGCAGACATGCATTCAGAGGTGTAAATACTCACACTTTTATGCTATGGTATTTTTTAAAATAACATCCACATCTCTTGTGGCCTAACTTGTAGTTCAAAAGCTCCAATTTTTACTATCAAAGATTTTCTCTGTTTTGATGCTCATATTCTCTCACTATTTCACTTGAAATATAGGCTTCTTTGGCATGGGCATCAAGTCATGTATAATCAGCTTATGTCGTGGATGGTCTATGGGATTCTTCATGATCCATACAGAGAATTTTTCATTGGCAGGTAATGACCACTTTTAAAGGAGATTTCTGTCACCCATTTTCTCCAAGGCTTAAAATCTTGTTGTGTTTTTCTTTTCATTCCAGTGCTTTTCACCCTCTACAAATTTACCCATTTTCCCTATGATTACGGGAACAGTATACCGCTAAATTCATAGACCTTCTCAACAGCCCATTATAGGATGAACATGCTGCAGTTACAGTTGGTGTTACAGATAGAAAGTTTTGTTGTTGTTGAAGCATATACAAAAGGCTTTGTTTTTCTTTCTAGACAGGATGACAAGGATGCAGAAACAGACTCAAGTTCTGATGTGATTCAGAAATTGGCACACTTGTCAACCAGTGATGTTTCTTTAACTGATTGGCACTTGGGGTTCCATATTTCGCTGGTATGTTGTAATTCAATCATTCCATCCTTTTCTCTAAAGTCTTCTGTTGGAATAATTTTCTTGTATATATTTTGATGAACATTGTGATTGGAGAACAAGGCAAGTAGTTGTGATTGAAAAACTTACTTTTGTATGGAACACTGTGATTGCCAAAACATGGGGTAAACACCAGCTTTTCAGTAACTCTCAGTTTGTTACAGAGATGTTTTTTTCTGGAACATCTCTTCAGAGTTCTGATTATCATATTTTTGGAACCAGTAAACAATTTTCAGTAAAGATTTTCATGTGCTTGGCACCGGACAATAATTTCTTTGATGATTTGACATCTGGGAATGGGAAGTCATGTGTTCCTGAAACATTTTTATGTTTTCGATTGTTGTGGGTCAAGTGTTATATTACACATAGAAGAGTTTATTTTCATAAAAGCATTTTCCATGGTAAATATTTCCCTGAAAGTATTTCCCAACTCAAGCTATTTCATGGAAACAAGTGGAACATTAATAACACTTCAATAGTGATTGCCATATAAATTTCTGGTGTTGAAGATCGTTTCCTCAATCAGACTGTTAGTAAGAGTCATGACTTACCTTTTTTGTCAAGCCTTCTACTTGTTGGTGAAACAACTATTTATGGCACAAGTTGATTCAGTAGACACAGTATAGTGAGGGTCATGTTTGTCAAACCGGAAAGTAGCTCCAACAACTGAAATTCATGCATTGTATTTTCATTCTTTTTATTTATTGGAAGAGTATATATATTACAGGAAATGCTTCCAGATTATATCCCTATGGGTGTTGCAGAGTCCATTTGTTTTGCTGGAAAAGCAGTCAGGGTACTTCGAAATCCTAGCTCTACTTTTCAACTTAATAATGCAGCATTGAATCAGCAGACACAGAGAAGTCTACAAAAGAACCAAGGATTCACAGAAGAGGTCTCTTTTGAGAAGAACTCTCCAATGGATTTTCAGTCAGTTGGAGAAGATTTACTACCACAGTCTGAGGCAGATAAGATCGAATCTTTGCTTCAAGCCTTAAAGGTTTAATAAACTAAACCATGCATACAGTAACCAGACATACCAAAAACTATGGGCCATTTTTTTCACTTTCTGAAGACTTTTCTACTGTTGTAGACTTGTAGCAATTAAAGATGCTAATTGTTTTTTCTTGTTGCTTTTTCTAAGTTGTTGGCTACCTTGTGTAGGAGTCATCAGAGTTTCACAAACGAACATTTGAAATGGCCGTTGACTCAATCAAAGCAATTGCAGCTAGTCATCTTTGGCAGGTTTGGATTTGCCGAACTTAATATTTATCTGATTTTCTGTATAACCCTTTAAAGTCTCTTTTATTTTGCAGCTTGTAGTTGTGCGTGCAGACTTAGATGGCCACTTAAAAGCCCTCAAAGATTATTTTCTTCTGGCAAAAGGTGATTTCTTTCAGGCAAGTAATCTGATGTTCAATGTTCTTTTCTACTGATGTAGTTTTTCTGTTCTTAGTAAGAAATCAAAGGTTTCTAATATATTCATTTGGCACTAATATGCCAGAGTTTCCTTGAGGAGAGTCGCCAGCTCATGCATTTACCACCTCGCCAGTCCACTGCAGAAGCTGACCTTATGGTCCCCTTCCAACTGGTAGGTGAATGTTTTAGGCCACCTACATGGGATGCATAATATGAAAAAAATGAAACTCCCTCCATATCGAAAGGTTGCCCTACCTAACAGTTAAGGATGTTTTTAGTTAGTTGTTTTGCTTCCCCTTATTTGGTAAACACAAGCCTATACATGACATAGACACCCTTACTTTATCATCCCCTCTCCTTCTCATTTAGTTATTTTATCTCCCCTCCCTCACTTTTTCGCTTGTTATAGTGTTATGCACTACCCAATGCTCCTGCAATGTTACTCTTACAACCTGGGAAAACCCTATCGGAATGAAACAGAGGAAGTATATATTTATAATTTAGTTGATTCTAGCAAAATTGCATTTGTGAGTACTGCTGACAATACATTGTGAATTCTTATTTTATCATGCGATTTCTTTTATTGCTTCATTTGACATTTTCAAGTTTCAACGACATGTTTCTTTCATCAGCATCGCTGAATCTACCTGCAAAGCTTTAACAAGAATAATTGCATTGCAGGCTGCACTTAAGACTATTGGAGATGAAGACAAACACTTTTGTAGAGTGTCTTTGCGGTTAGAATCTTTTATTTTTGTTTGAGCGAAGTTGTATGTTAAAATTGTTGCCCAAAGTCACCTTTTGTATTTTAACTGTAGTGTGCCTTCTGTTGGGATTCCTCTCAAATCAGCTCAGCGTGATTTGCTGAAAAATGCATATGCTGATGGAGAGTTAGGAGGGCAATCAGATACTTCTTTGGAGATGTCCCTTGACGGATGGGATGTCATTTCACTTGAGTATTCTGTTGAATGGCCCTTGCAGTTGTTTATCACACAGGAAGTCCTTTCAAAGTAAGACCAAACGACTATTACATTTTCATATAGCGAAGTGTCTTAGCTGAAGCATATATTGTCTTGTTTTTTTTTGTGATTTTCTACATTCGAAGTATCTTAGCTCTGTCCCAAAAAAGAGCTTTGTTGATTAAGTTTTTTTTGGGTAGTTTTAGAACTCCTATAAAGCCAATCCTACTTATATTGTTGTAGTTCATGAGTTGGTTTAACCAAATTTATCATATTTAATAGTTTGGTACTTATTTTTCAGAAATTATATGAAATGTTATTGTCCAAAGAAGTGTTTTTGAAACAAAACCCTTTTAAGAGGTGGAGTATCTTTTTACTAACGTGTTATGTTGGATGTCATCATCCACGCACCCCAGCTAATATGAAAGCAACAACACCATTTTATTACTGAAGTCATGAAATTTGTATTCTAATAATAAATTGTTCTAGGTACCAAAGAGTTTTCCAGTACTTGCTCCGACTTAAGCGGACACAGATGGAACTAGAAAAATCATGGGCTTCTTCGATGCATCAAGATCACTCAGACTTTGCTAAGCACCGCAATGACCATTCAAAGTCTTCATCATCACAACAGCGGCGACAACACATTAGACCAATGTGGCATGTAAGAGAGCATATGGCTTTCTTGATAAAAAATCTCCAGTTCTATATTCAGGTAATTTATGTATGACTCTCTATCTTCAGCATGGAGAGAGCATATAGTACTCTCCATGCCGCTACTTTGCCATTTACGAATTATAAAGTTTGACTCATGCTAAAATTAAATCACCATGACAAGTATTTAAATACATATTAATAATTAAAGACTACAGTCACTACACTAAACTCTACCATGGTACACACTTTTACAAATTATGAATGAGTATCAGACGATAGCTGCTTGCGAAGATTATACTATCAAAACTAATTCCAAGATTGTTTGGAGTAATAGAGTAATAGACTGCTTGCCCGAATTTCACTTAAAATGAAGTTACTTTTAAAACCACTCTCTCTTTTGAGAGTACTCTAATAGTATGCCTAGTTTTACATATTGAAATGTGTCCTTGCTCCTTACTGATTATTTGATTTATTGTTGTTGTGTTCCCTCCTATTCCATCCATGCTAGTTGATCTTTCTCTATTTTTCCAGGTTGATGTTATAGAATCTCAGTGGAATGTTTTGCAGTCTCATATTCAAAATTCTCATGATTTCACAGAACTTGTGGGCTTCCATCAAGAGTAAGTAATCTACATTAATAGAATCCCATCCTTTCTCAAGTAACTCATCACGTAACTAAAACCTACTTACAAATAGCTCTATAATGTAAGGAGATCACAAGGCTATAAAGATATCAATTGCACTAGATTATTTATTCTTTTTGTGTGTATTACTAAATACATATATACGTGGGGTTGATTTGCAGGTACCTGGGTGCATTAATTTCACAATCTTTCTTGGATATTGGTTCTGTCTCGAGGATTCTGTATGGCATAATGAAACTCTGTGTGCAATTTTGCTGGAAGATGGAGAATCAGGTGGGCAATGGGGATACCAACGAGCTAGAGCATATTGCTGAGGTATTGAAGGACTCAAATACCCTATGCCTTTGCCACACCTCCATTGCACTTTATTTCATTTTGCATGTAATTATTATTAGGGAACAGAAATCAAAATGGGATGTAATAGTTCTCTTGATGTTTATGTATATGCCACAGGAATTCAACAAAAAATCGAACTCCTTATACACAATACTAAGAAATAGTAGGCTTGCTGGGAGCCAAAGAGCACCATTCCTTAGGCGTTTTCTTTTGCGTCTCAACTTTAACTCTTTTTCTGAGGTAAATTTCCCATCTTACCATGCAAGTTCAGTTTTGTCTTCCAAATAATTCCATCTGACCTGTATATGTTGATGAATGATGATCTCACCAGGTGACTGCACTGAATGTTGTCGGGCACCGCCCACACCTTGCTGTTTAGCGGATGAGTGAATGTTCTCTGCCCAAAATACCCCCAGAATTCAATTGGGAAATGAATCTTAAGCTATTTAAGAATCTTCTGGCCTCCCTTTCATGTTTTTATCCTTGGCTAGTTTCGGAAGGATGCATTGTTGTGCCAAAATGACAACACCAGTCTCCTCAGAAGTTTCTTTGTGTATATAGCTATGAATAGATAGGAAAGTTCAAAACCGATTTCTCGCTAAGTACTCAGTTTATTACTCAGTTTATTTCTGACTTCCTTTGTTCAATTCATACTAGTGATAGAAATCAACGCGTTCTTGAGTAAATAAACTTATTAATGATAAAAAAGGGAAAAATAATTCAAATACTCCAAACTTTAAAGAGGTGTGACGTAAATACCCCAAACTTGCATATGTAATTTAAATACGGAAAGAAGATGCTATGACTATGAGTGAAGTTGTGTCTATGGTTGGGGTTCTGTTAACTATTGAAATTACATAAGAAATAAGTAACCATAATTTTCTCGTAAGGTAGTCAAACAAGTTATGGTGTATGAAACTTTCCTCAACTTTTGTTTCTATTGTGAAGAATATGGGCACCATCTATTTATTTGCACGAAATTCGCAACAAAGGAGTGGGGTGATACTATGGTTGAGAAGGGAGAGAAGGCTTGGAATGACATTAAAGAGAGAACTTAAGATGACATAGACACATAGTGATGAGTTGGCATAGGAAACAACAGTCCATGTGGGAAATATGGAGATCACAGTAAGCGCTGAGGTCTGAGGATAGTGAAGAGCTTCGGGTTAACCAGAACAAGTGGCAGAATCATCCACATAGGTAATCGCACTGGAAAACACCGAGATGGAAATGGTGGAGGGAAGAAATGACAATAACATAATCAATGAAAGGTTACTGAATGTTTGTACTACATTGGAAGGATTTACACAAGTGAAATTAGGCATGGACTAAGGCCAGGCTGGGTCGAGCTCGGTCTCGGGCGGGCTCCGGGACTAAAGAATGCAGGCCTGACCCAACCCTTTTTTGAATTTGTAACCGTTAGGCCCAGACTGGGTCCGGCACGACGCGGCCGGTCCACCAAAATCAAAGCCCAAGTGCCGGTCCGGGTACCAGGTCGATACCGGTCCCGATCAATCAGAACCGGGTCTGACCGACCCGTCCCACTCCATCCCTAGGTGAAATCAAAGAGAAACAAGAAAAATGATATCTCCCAACACACTCTAGAATTCGTAACAGGTTAAAATAAATCTAAATTATTCAAGGCTAGTTATGTAGTTGGGAGGTTATAATTGAAGTAAGTGATTTGAGCAAATTACCTTGTAATGATTTTATTCCCTTAATCTCATTGGAGATTTGGAGTTTGTTAAATTTGACCAAGACAAGAAACAAGAACATATAAATTATATTGTTGAAATTTGCGTTGAAAAAAAGAAGTAGAACATCACAAATTAGCTAAAGTAAATTGTTTTAGGACAACTTCAAAATGTCACTTCCTCTTACATGTTGGAGTGTCATGTCATTCTCATCTCCGACACATAAAATATGAAAATAAATTGTGTGATTAACATATGCGCAATAGTGCAAAGGAAAGAATAAACAAGTAGAACCCCAATATATTTTGTTTAAAAGGTAAGTTGCAAAGAATTGAAATAATTTAGTAGAATGTAGAGTTGATTTCAAAGTTGAGCCAAGGGTGGACCGGGCTCGGGACGAGACTGGGGTCCTACGCTACAGGCCCGGTACCAGCTCGGGTCAATATTTTTTTAAAATGGCTTTTCTAATTAATTCCTCCCCCTCACCCCCACCCCCCGAAACCACCCAGCCCCACTCACCTAGCCACAGCCCAAAGCCAAAAAATAAAAAAGGGCTCGGACCGATCACCATTTCTCCTGTCCCGTAGCCCGCCCCCTATCCCCAGTTCGGGTCCCCAGTACCAGTCCCGGTACCGCCCTGTGGGCCGGGTCAGGCCTGCACAGTGGTGGGCCGGGCCGATCCATCTCAGTCCATCCCTAAGTTGAGCGAGACAAAGATAGTAATCAATAGATACACTTTTAGTGCCAATCACACAAGCATGAATGAATCATACAATACAATTACATGTATATTTACAAACTACATTACAATTTACATTTTTTTACCTTGAAGGTAAACCACCAAAATCAGTGGGGTTGATTACAATTTACATTACTCTTAGGTATGAATATACCTCCTAATATCATTTTTAGTTTTATTTTTATTTAAACACCCTTTCAAAGAATTGATTTTTGCCACAAAAATAAATGTACATATATATACAAATTAACCAAAGAATGCTTCAGAAATGCTGGCGAGCTGTTGCTGGAGCTCTAGGATTTCAACATGAGCGCGGTCCCTCACTTCGTCGTCGTTCGCAGATAAGCTTTTCGACCTATTCACTATTTTCCTTTGGATGCTTCTCACCTTTCTATAAGGCCAACGCACCAACCCATCTCTCCTGCATATCTTCTTCATGACCGTAGGGCAGATGTTCATTCTCCTTGCTGCTTCTTCTATGGGGAGATGAAGATACCCTGCAAAGTCTTTTAATTTCAACTTTCCAGTTCTTTCCCTCTGCGTAGAAAGAGGGATCTTTTGGGGTTTGTTCCCATCCTCTGGTGCATTGTTTTGGTCTGGTATGCCTGGTTGATTCATCAGTTGCTCACCACCTATACTTTTGCAAAAATTGAAATGTTAATAATGTTATGAGAGTCACCCTTTAGTGCTTGTAGGTTGGTTTTCATTTATTTATCAGTCCTATGACACATTTACTAATAATGCTATTTTTACTAACCTGTTTATAAAATGTGTTTTTTCATACAATACTCTCATATTCCATATTTTAAAAGATTATTCTATTTCAACAAAATATTAGCGGTTTTAGTGTGATTAAAAAGTTTTCGCCTGATCAATGAGTTAAATAACACTCCCATAACATATGATTTGTCTTGTGTACCAAACTTTTCAATAAATCCACAGTACCTCGCTTCACTAAAACATAAAATTTAAGCCGAATAATATGCAATTTAGTTTTATTTTGATATTATTTTTCCAAATCATACTCCGTATTAAATTGAGCCGGACTAACATCGGAGTAACCAAATTAAATAAAAAATGTATCGTGCAATGTGAATTTAGTGATAATTCTTTGAAAAAAAAACTAGGTGTACCCCATTTTGGTGTACACCATTTGTATCCCGTAGTTTGTGTGGTTTACAAAAGCAATTCATAATAAATGGGGCAATTAATATATGAATAGCCTTTTTTGAACCACAAAAAAAGGAGCGTACAAATGGTGTACACCAAAATGGGATACACCAAGAATGACTTTAATTCTTTTAGCGTGTTTTAAGTCACATTGGACCGAAGTCCAAAACTCAAATAACGGAATAGAAACCCGAAATGTAACCCCTAAAAATATATACATTTATATTTATAGATGTGAGCACCTGAAGTTGATGGAGGTAGTTGAAAAAAGGAGTCAATGTCCAAAAAATTAGTCCCTCCTCCCAATCCAACACTCATAGCATCATAGAACTCCCATAATGGGTCTTGAAGCACAATGTATCCCTCTTGTTTACGATCCTCAAAATACCTAACCAAAAATTGCTTCACCGTATCCGTACTTTCCTTGCAAAAGCTGCAACACGCCGACAGAGAAAAACCCAATGTTACAACTTACAACTATTGTTATTGTGAAATAGTGAACACGCAAGTAAAAAAAGAAATGAAAGCTCTACAAATATGAAATAGAAAATAAAAAAAAAACATGCTTTCGATTCACTTATAATTGTTAAAAGGAATGAGTGTTGCAACACTTTCCGATAAGAAACCTATAATTTTTTTTGAAGTAGGATAAAAAATGCTTTTGAAATTCCAAAATTAGGCTGACATGTTTTTATTCCCTAAATAGAAGTAATTACCATCAAAGTTTGAAAAGTGTCATGTTTAAAGTCTAGTAATACCAAAACATGATAGTAGTTACTCCTGTTTAGGGAATACAAATATGAAAGTTATATTTTGAAATTCATAAATGTTTTTACTCCTATTTAGGGCAATTTCTTTTAAGAGTAAACATGGGAGAGGGAGTAAAAATCAGAGGAGACCATGTTCATAATTAGAGGGCTATGCCAAGCTCCGACCGATCGAAAATCTGTAAATCCATCAGTTTATAGGTAACAAATTTTGTGTAATAGAAGTAATTTATATGAAAAGGTCCTTAAAGGTCAAGGTCTGCAGAAAGATGGGCAGGATTAATTAATTAACTAATCATCTTACTCGAAAGTTTGGTACTGTGGATGTAGAGAAAAGTCTGAAGAGAGTTTCTCTATGACTGCATGAGTGATCATTCCAATACTTCCATGCAATTGAAGTTTCCATATTTGCAAGCCTAACAAAGTGATCATTACTAAGTATGAGAACATACTTCCATGCAATTGAAGTTTCCATATTTGCAAGCCTAACAAAGTGATCATTACTAAGTATGAGAACACAGACCTACAATTCTATCCAAGTTATATACATGCAATGTCGCAACTTATGAAGCACAAAAATTCAAGAAAATACTACATTTCCATTTCAGAAACTATACAGATATGAAGTGCTTGTTTTTCCGATACTTCCATGCTTGTTTTTCGTGCAACATAACAAGTATGTAGTACTATGTAAATATGTAAAACTTGAAATTTAGAACCTTTAATTTGCCGTACAACACGCACCATTTGTATGACTTATTTCACGAAGGACCAAACAGGCATTACAGATAGACGTCGGAGACGGTAAAGCCATTGTCGGCCATATAGCAGTAGTAGGTGTTGTCGAATTCTCTGCGTACTCTGGATCACCATGACCATTAACCTCTGGGAAAGTTCTTGAAACTCCGACATCAGGGAAGCACTCCTGAAGTAATAATTCTTCAAGCAGAGGGTCCACAAAGGTATTAAAGGCGGCATTTGGTTGACTAGGAAACTGATGAACATCGTTAAAGGGACAATTTGGTTGCGAAAGAGTGGGATTAATTGGAGAGTCAGCGGGTTCCAGACTCCATTGCAGTTCCGGGAAGGTGTCCGGTATTTCATGGCTTTGATTCAATGGAAGAAGAGGGTGATTGAAAGGATGGGGATGAGGGAGAAGGGCAGATCCGGAGTTTGAAGGGCCTGCCATTTTCCGCCCTATTGGGCCCCACAATATGGCGGAGAAACTTGGCGGTATGAAGGCGGAGGCTTATTGCCGGGGACAAAGATAATTGGCGCGAGTGAAAAGAGGCAGCAGAAATGGTATATTACGAAATGGATAGAAGAGTCTGCGTGGGAAGTAATAAACAGTTAATGACCATTGGCTTTAGTGTTTTGAGTTTTAAATTCAAGTTTTGAATTTTGATAACTTATTACTCCTAGTCTACGCTATAAAATCTGAAGTTGGTTTTGAAAATAATTTAAGATTTGTTTTTTAAAATTATTTACTTAAATGTAAAATTAAACGTAAGTTATTATGACTAAAAGCACTATACTAATGAGATCACATTTTAATAAATACACTCAATTTAAGTCCTACATTTTTAATTACATATAATTCTAAATAGTTCACATTTATATGTGGTGCACACCGTTTTCTTATATTTGATATTTAATAAACATATTTTTCACTTTGGGACAGGCGGGTGTCATGATGATTATTGAGTTTCAATTACTCCATAATATTCATTTCTGGAAAAGTAGCTAGCACCCTCATTTAGACAATCTGTTTATTTAGGCCCGTTAACAAATCAACCCACAATAACCTTGGCCCTATCTGATTAAAAAGCTCTAGTCTGCCGTAGACATTCGAAGTAAGCCCAGTAGACATTCCACAGTGCTTCTCTCTGTCCGAACGCTTCTCCTCTTCAACCTACCGATCCTTGCTAACCAAACACTGCTTCTCTAAAACTTCCGGGACATGTTTACTTCACAGGTTACTAAGTGATGCTTATTAAGACTTGCGTTAATAAACGGCGCGTAAAATAAGCAAGTGCTATAAGCTCATGTTACATCACAGGATTTAAAACACTTTAACATTAAAATGACCAAAATAACCCTATAATAAATATATAAACACAGAAACACTCATGTATACACATGCAATACGTGGGGGCCTACCCCCTACCATCCCCGTACCCCTACCCCTTATCCCCTACCGCACGAGGGACGGGTAGGGGTAAAGGTACGCATATGGGTAGGGAAATGGGGGGGTTAGGGGTACGGGTATGGGTAGGACTAGGTTGGGGGTGGGGGTGGGGTAGAGGTAATGATAAGGGTAGGGGTAAAGGTACGCATATGGGTAGGGAAATGGGGGGTTAGGGGTACGGGTATGGGTAGGACTAGGTTGGGGTGGGGGTGGGGTAGAGGTAATGATAAGGGTAAGGGCAAGGGTGAGCGTAAGGGTAAACGCGGAAACAGAAACAACTTAAACTGTCGCTTAATTAATACATGAGGGTGGTATGCTTTGTAAGCGGCACTTTAATCACTTGTCTTGGTTAGTAAACAACTTTTTAAGCAGCCTCCATGCTTCATATGTCTTACTAACCTAACTGTTTTTAGCAGCGACCATAGGTGCACTTACCAAGCTGAGTATGCAATCTTCAAATTTTGTTTTATTTGAAACCATTGCTTCTAAAATCTAATCTCTTTATACATTTAATCTTTACGCATTTTGAAAAAACTTCAGAACATTATGTAGTTTTGTATATCCTCCAACCTCTTCCTTACTAAGACATACATATTCTGATACTCTTTCAAGATGTCGTTTAAAACTGGATATTCTGAGCAATTTTGTAGCAGTATGTTCTGGTTTAACTGAAAACATTTATATAAACTAATTCTTTTAATATATCTTTATAACATTACAAATGCTTGGTAATATTAATATTAATAATTTTTCTTAAGTGAAAAAATATCCTTATATAGAAATACAAGGATACTAATAAAACAGTAAGATGTGAAGACGAATAACGGTTAATTCGAAATATTTGATTTAAAGTGTACCCGGAAAAATTGCTCTAGTCCGCTTGTTTTCAATGGTTGTACTGTTACTTGATTTTCTAATGGTACTTTCTTGGATTACCACCCCCTTATGCTCTTTAACTTGTAAGTGTTTCTTCCTCCATGAGAATTGATTGTAGCCAATGGTGTTCAGCCTGTTGGAAGTACCACCCTGTCCCAAATAATATCACTGTAACAATAAATTAGAAGTATCAAATATTGGCCAATGTCAAATAAAAATATTAAAAATTACTAATCTGAGAAAGGAAGTATGAAATAGATGTAAATGTATAGAACAACAAATACGTCAGTATTTGAGTAACTAGTTGAATACGTAAAAGTTCTGTCCAGGAAACTGCAAAATATAAACTGTTGAATGGGACCCGTCAGAAATAACTGTCTGAGAATTCCCAGAGCGTGGCGCGCGTATGATGTACTTCATAATTTTTATCTGAAAAAAATGGAAAGGCCACATAGGTTGTTTTTAATTAGGAAAATACACTGTCAGGTTTTACTTAATCAGGATGTGGCATGTGTCCACGTGTTAAAACTGGTACCTTTTATATTTTCAATTATTTTTTTAGCCCGAATTGGTGTTTCTATTTGGTCATGTGTTTGCAGTACTTCAACGTATCAGCTACTAAAAAGGAACCATGCGGGAATAGGTTTTTCCCAGCCGATTCCATTTATATATATATATATATATATATATATATATATATATATATATATATATATATATATATAAAGATAATGATAAAGATCGGAAGTTATTAATCTTACATATTTTAACTTATCTATCAACTGCTTTACAAAAAAAACTTTTCTATCAACTATTTTGATATATTGGGCCGAATGTTGTCCTATCCCTATGATTCCTAGAGGAGTGGATTCTAAGATTTTTCTTGTAATATTATTATTTTTATAACAGCCATAGCGTGTGTTTGGAAAGACAAGAAACAGCCCACCGCGAACAATCCCAACCATCAACAAGAAACTCTGCATCACTTTGTAACAGCACGTCACGCGGTGGTCGGAAAACGCGATTGCCATGAAAACCATCACTGACATCAAGGCATGCACGAAGTCCGTGAACCCAACCTTGTACCGGTCGTCCTTCGGGACTTCCACTCCAGGGTCGCTCTTGAACACTGCCAACCCCCGAGGCATCACAAAGCCGTAGTACACTTTCCGGCTGTCCGGCCTTCAGAAGTTGTCAGTGAAGTAACAGAAGAAGCAGGAGAGGGCGCAGAGGGCCAGGGGGACGAGGATTATGGTGAATTGGCTGTGTACTTGAGCATTTTAAACACTGTTACATATGTTTTTTAATTGAAATAAAAGGTTTGAACTGAAAGCGACATGCTTTGTGTTTATATTTCTTTCATTAATGTCAGCCTTTTAGGGGGTTGAAAAGAAGACCATGAGAAATGTGATTCAGTTCATTACTACAAGAGGCCGTTTGAAGCACTCAAAATGGGCTGAAAAGCCTGAAAGTATTAAAACAATCACCGTATTAAAAAATAATGCATTTGAGATTTTTATATTTTTTCATACCAATAGATCTCTTTTATAGATCAATAATTTTATAGCCCAATTATGTATTCACGCGTCCCTAAAATAACTAAATTTGTGTGTTTATATATATATATTGTTATTTTTTTTTAGATAATTTATGTTATATATTGATATGTATTGAAAGAATGCTAAAGTTTTAAAAATCATTAATGACTATTCATTTCTAATAATGTAGCGTATATGACTTTTTGACTTTTTGTTGTATCATGTTTGTGCAATTTTACAACTTAACTAATATGGTTTAAATCAACTCTCATGGTTCAACTATAAACTAAATTAGGACTAATATTTAACCTAGAACAAAGAAGAAGAACGTTGAATTTTTCTATTATAATATTCAACAATATGATGATATTCTTTTTATATTTCACATAAATTTAGTAAATTAAAGATAATATTTATCTCATGCATCATCATTTTGCTATATTTTTTTCCTTATGGCATTGTATCGTACCGTTCTTGTAACGTTCTGAAACGACATGTTACCGAATGGTTCCATCCTTAGAACTGGAGCGTACCGAACCATTAGAAACCTCACAGATACATTACGGGTTTTACTAATTTACCGGACCATTCCAGACCGTGCCCATCCCTAATTCTTATAACCACCTAATCAAGCAAAACTAATTCACTAGCAAAGTTCACACCCATCCATTTGACACAAATAAGCTAATACCCTTTACAATAATTGTACGCTCAATCAGCCATTGCAGCCAACATATTACCAAACACTTTCACTTCAACACATTCAACCTTTTCAGCCGTTGCTGCCGTTGCTGCCGTTGGTCCGTTACCAAACAGGCCCTAAGTATCAAACAAATAGTCTAGCATACTTGATAACTTTTCAGTTTATGAAAATTACTGTAAAATAAATCCTAGAAATGAAATCTCTTTCATCATCTAAATATATTATCCCAACTTTCTTTAGTAAGAATAGAAACAGAGTTCCCCACAACACTAAAAAGTTAGAAAATAGGGTCCTATTATTCATTACAAACACTCTTAATGTAGTAGTGATTCACTACAAATGCCAAATCAAGACCAAGAGTTTGGTGTTGAAAATATTGCAGCATATTTGGTGAATAAATATCAAAGTGAAGATGGTTACAAGTGGAATAAGGAATTTAAAGGGGGGAAACAACGCTGTTAGAATAAGAAGTTATATGTATCTGTGAATACGAATAAGAAAACAATACTCATTTCAATGTTATGCTGTAAGGGAAACTTTGCCCTTGACGCCAATTTCGAGGAAGTCTCCTGGTGTGGCGAGACGTCATTTTGTATGAATATTACTGGTGTTCGTGTAGAAGGTTTTCCACTTGTGTCCATTTACTATTGAATAAGAGGGATACATGTATATGTCCATATAAATAAGAAACATAAAATTCTTATATCAAAGGAATGCTTTAAGGGCAATTTTTCCATTACCATGTCCAATATTTATGAAGTTTTTTTGTTTTGCTATTTTTTCCATTCCAACCATCACAAAACTCTAGGAAATTTTCTTGATTTGCTAGCATTTTTGGGTTAAAAAGGCACGGTATATTAATTTTATACATCCTTTCAACAATTTTAAAAAACCTTGTACTATAACTTCTTTTAAAGTCGTGTATTTCAATCTAATAAGTCCTTTTCGTATGAATAATACTGGTGTTTTTCTAGATGCTTTTCCACTGTACATATTTTTTATATACGGCTTTCAAGCAATGGTGTTGATCTATTTTGCAAACCCTGTGATGTTATTTTTAAGGGAAGGATGAGAGATATGGTAGTAGTAATTGTTAAGACAGTCACAATGTGCTATGAAATTTGTTTGAAGTTTTTTACCAAACACTTTGTAAGCATGAAGTAAAAGTTTTTTTTAATAACAAGACATCCACGTTTGGTGAATCCTGAAAGTGTTTATATTAGCAATATCTAGTGAACATAAACAGCACACCAGCAGTGAACCTGAAGCAAAACAATGCTTAAGTGGCTGGCCGTATAAAATTTGCTCTTAGAGTAGAGCAATTCAGTGGAGCAATTCGCTGTTGTACTTCTAAATTAAAGCATACCTAGTATTGTTGTGTATTTGTTAAGTTTTGAACGAAAATTAAGGAAATGAAAGTAGATAACATGCGATTAGTGCATATTGTAGGGTTATGCTAAACAAGAAATAGATGCATTTAGAAATGGAGGTGTAAGAAAGATGAGTATTGAGTACCTGTTCTTTGTCGCACAATGAGATGAGAAGGGGAAGAAATAGTACTGATCCTCTCCATTTTAGAAGTGAATGTAATAACCTTCTCCTACGGTTGGCGCCGTTTGATGCAGGTTTGATAACCGTAAAAGAATTTTGAACTGCCGTTGGCCGTTCCACTGAATTGCTCTACTCTTGACATGTTTTTCATACGGTCTAATTTATGTCCATAGGTTAAAATTTAAATCGAGAAGACAATAGAATAAACTTTGGGAGAATTATCAAATAAGTCCTCGAACTTTCATAAAAAGTGCAAATAAGTCGGTAGAATTTTTTGATGATTTTTTTTTAACATTTTCTTCATCAAGTCTAGTTTATCCATACCAAATTTCAGCTAAAAATGCAATCAAGAAGGCAGTAAAATGATTTTTTGAAATATAATGTGATGTCTAACTGAGCAGTTATCTTCAAAAATTCATTTGACTGTCTTCCCGATTGATTTTTTAGCTAAAATTTGGTATGAGTAAACTAAATTTAATGAAGAAGATTCTCAAAAAAAATCATCAAAAAATTCCACCGGAAACCGACCCAAATGGCGACGGCCGGACAGAGCCTCTTATAAAAGGGCTTATTTGCACTTTTTATGAAAGTTCGAGGGCTTATTTTGTAGTTCTCCCAATAAACTTTTGAAAATAACTGTGTTTTATATGTATATTTTGGTGCAGTTATCTTTAAAACTTATTTGACTTCCTTCTCGATTGAGTTTTGAGCTGAAATTTGGTGGATATAAACTAGACATCATGAGAAATATGTTCAAAAAATTTCATCGAAAACCGCCCGAAACAGTGGCGACCGGACGGAGAGTCATGTCCATCGGACTGGACAAGATCATTTCTCTCTCTTGACACACACACATAAATATAATCAAATACAAATATTTATTCTCATGAAAAATAGGAATAAATTTGGAACATCGGATTTAGGATCTAATGATTCTAAATATATAAAAAATGCATTAAGGTAGATGAAAAATGTGGTGACATTTTTCATTAATAAATTCAAGTTTTTCTTCCTTAGAAAAAGAATACTTCTAGCATGCAATAGTGTACCGCGAAGGATCAAAAGTGGATGATGGAAAAGCTCAATGTAATAGTGGAATTCATATGCTCAAAAGTGGAGATGTTCTCATTTTGTATTTTAAGCCTACTTTTTATTGAAACTAGACCCTATATATATAATACTCCCTCTGTCCCAAAAATGTTGGTCAAATTTCCTTTTTTGAATGTCCCAAAAAGATTTGTCATTTCCATTTAAAGTAAGGAATATGCGGCTAAAATTAATTCTCTCTCCTCTGCACAAATTTCAACCACACAGTTTTTACTTTATTGATTCACGTGAAAGTCAACTTTGACCAACCTTTTCGGAACGGAGGGAGTACCAAATAGGAAATAGGAAACGTTGATGACGAGAGTTTTGCCGATTAGGAAATGTATTTAAACTAAATGTCTAAATTGTAATTTTTAAATGTCTAATACTCTAAGTTAATTTAATGTTTCAAATAAATTTACGTTTCATCTTTATGTTGTTATTTATATTACAATTTTTTTAAAAAAAAAGAATCAAAATCACCTGAATTGACCCGAGGCCGAACTGGGACCCTAGAATCCAGGTCGGTTCCGGATTCACCATTCATGAATCAGGGTCGGCCGGTCCAGGACTCAGGCCGGGGCCACCCCTAATTGTTCATAGCCGGTGAAGAGGTAGACAAAATCTCTCGACCAAACGAATCTGGCTGGGACAACAACTTCCCTAAACATGTTGACTCGTTGAGCCTCGAGGGAGACAAAACACACGATCCACATAACAGTGCTCGAAAAAAGCGCAATAGAATAGCTTGAACACAACAAAAAATATAAAGTTGGGAGTTCTTATACCGTGGGAGCGGTGCAGGATGAGCATCCTGCTCTTAGAGTTATATGAAATGTAAATCGTTTGAATCAACATGTAACTTCAGGTTAATCAAAATGTAACTTATACTCATTCAAATGTAACTCGTTTAAATGTAAACTACTTTAATTGAAATGTAATTGGAAAACAAGTCAGATGTAACTTGGAAAATGTAACTTTAGCATATACATAAACCAATAACTCCATCGATCAACATCAACAGAATGAAGAAATTTATTTGAAGTATTAATCCGAATTTGATTCATACACAGCTTATTAGATGTTAAATCAAAGCAAAAGAATTTGCTTTCAATTTTAAAAGGGTTATGCGTAACCTTTCAAAAAGAAGGGTTGTTGGTAAATTACAAAAGTGTTATGCGTGAGGTTGAAGATGGTTCTATAACTAGAGGTTGAAGAGCATGAGGCATGAAGTGGCTCCAGTCCGGTATTGCTCTTTAATTTGCCTGCGTTAGTGCTCCTTGGCTGCCGATGAACATGAGATGTTTTTAGATCGACATTACAGTTGCGGTTGCAGCTAAGTTGTTGTTTTTAATTGATAAAGTGACGCCGTGTTGGGATCGGCACATCGTGCACACGGTGGGCCGATCCCACGGTATAAACTGTGAAAAGTTGGAGCATATTCATATTTCATACCAAGAACAAAACTAACGCCACAAATATATTCTGCCAACTCACAAAACCATTTTTTACATGCGGAGATCGTCCATCTCTCCTCATGGTTTCACTTAGCCCAAGAGCGATCGAGCATGAGATAAAGGTCCACAGCATCACTCGCGGCGTCAATGACACATTCATGGAATCGCGTGAGAAAACCATTCTTTCCACGTGCTTATTTGTTTAAAATTATAAAAAACAACCCAAAATTGACATTTAGAGCAATGTTATGAGATTTGTTTGATTAATGAATAGTAAAGATATATTTTTCACTAAGAGAACGATAATGATAAAATAATACCCCTTTCATATTTAAAAGCTTGGTGCACTTTCGTATTTCGGATGTATTTAAAAGTTTACTACACTTTCCCTTTTGGGTAAGTTTTTCCTTTAAAAATACTCAATTATCCTTACCCTTTCTACTTTTATCTTCTTTTTCCTACTTTTTCAGATTCTCCCCTACTTTTGTACACTATTCATTACCCCTATTATTTCCCCTTAAATATTATTCCAAGACCTAATGTAACGATCCTTTAAATACAGAGGGAGTAATAATAATTCTAATAGAGTATAATTGTATAATTCTAGAGAAAAGTGAAAGGTACAGAAAAAATTCTTTGCATTCAATGTTTTCCCAACCCCTTACGACTAATCCCAAGGAGATATTTATAGAGGAAATATTGGTTGAGCTCCAAGGTCTTGATCCTGGGAGGTCGAATTATAATAATGGCCCGTTTAAAAATTGCTTACATGAATCTATTCTACTAAGTACAATGTAAAGTTATCTGCTAAAGGCCCTGGTAGAGATGTCCTGGCCGAGGAGGCTAGGACGCCGTGACCACTCTTGAACTGATCTAATCCATATGTGGATTTCTCTATTTATGAGTATCTTTCTATGTGGGTGATCCTCGTCTAGCTGGGCCCCAGCCGAGGGGGCCGGTACTTCAGTCACTTGTAATATTGTTTGTTTATCCATGATTATGTGCATCGTGAGTGCAAGCCCATATATTCTATCAAATGCCATAACTTTTAGTTCTTTGGGCGGCTTTCATGTGAACCAGACGGCTTTCGTCTGTTTTGAACCCGAGCCATCTTTTAAGCCTTGAAACGTATCATTACGTAGGTGAGTGTGCCTTGCACTGACTTGAGGTGTAGGAACGCTAAAGGTGTGCGGAGAGGATGATAGAATCATCCTTAATACGAAGACATGTTAAGCAAGTGTGAGAGTGGCACTTGTAAATTGAAATGATACGACGGTCGATACATACTATTACATAATGGTAGTAGTGAACAAAGGAAATTGAGTGTAAGATTTAGTATCGTTGAGTACGATTGGAACCCATAAGATAACCTTGATAAGGAATGGTTTGTGAAGCATAGTGCTAGGGTTGGCTAATACCCGAGAGATTGAGGACTCGAGAGAAATAAGGGCGGGGCCCTAAGCTCCGAGTTGTAAACGAACAAGTTGAGTAGACTTGTGTTACCCAAAGAGAGGGCAAGATCATCGGTAAAAAGAACCGTGAATATTATATAACATATGAATGGGGCATTAAAGCTTGACGTAAGAAATTGTTAACGAGGAGTCTATGTAAGACTTAGATAATGGGTGGAACCGGTGATTGATTATCACCGAGTAATATAATACGATACAAATGAGACCAATATAAGGGTTGAAACACCTAGCTGATTTGCCTTAGATGTTACTCATTATTGTATGAGTATCGGGAGCTCACGAGGGGATAACAAAGAATTTGAAGAACTAAATTGAATTTTAGTTTTATATCCATCCACCTATGGGTGGGCAGCACGAGTATGTGAGGCGTACTTTAGAGCCAAGGATGGTTACTTATTTTTGAAATCCCATGAGAGTTGGGATTGATACTTGATATGTGGGAGTCCTTCATGTAGAAATGGATACCGAGCGAGTATTGGATCGCTTCCATGGGAAGCGTTGTGTGAGATGACACGGTTAGCATGACTGTAAGATAACGAAATTTAAGTTATGTTTCGGGCATTCCTTAAGGTAGAACCCGAGGTGACTAGATTGATGAATCGATCTTAGACTTACAATTTGCCTATGATTTGAATCTTAACGAGGTATAGATAGGCAACATGAATTAAGAACTTGGTTGTTCTAAGATTATCCGACTAGTATTAAAATACTAGCCGAGAGGTTAATACGAATAATGATGGAATTAATCCTAAGAGACTGGATCGTGAATAGTGATGCCTTAAGTAGTCTTAAGAGATACTTTAAGGTCAAATTGTACGAGCTCAGATCTAAGGTATGTTAATGGTAGGCCTTAAAGGCTACTCAAAATGAGTTGAGTCTAGGCATAGAGATTGCTTAGAGACTTAGTAACGTGACTAAGAGCCAGACTCTAGCACAGTGTAGCGGTGACTAAGAGCAAGACTCTAGCACAATGTAGAGTGACTATGAGCAAGGCTCTAGCACAATGTAGAGTGACTATGAGCAAGGCTCTAGAACAATATAGAGTGACTATGAGCAAGACTCTAGCACAATGTAGAGTGACTATGAGCAAGGCTTTAACACAATGTAGAGTGACTATGAGCAAGGCTCTAGCACAATGTAGAGTGACTATGAGCAAGACTCTAGCACAATGTAGGGTGACTAAGAGCAAGCCTCTAGCACAATGTAGAGTGACTATGAGCAAGGCTCTAGCACGATGTAAAATGACTAAGAGCAAGACTCTATCACGATGTAATGTGACTACGAGCAAGGCTCTAGCACGGTGTAATTATAATAAGTGAGCGCGGCTCTCCTATAATGAAATAATGCGTTAGGGTAAGCCCTAGAACGGCATAATGATTTGTTATGAGTTTATGATAATCGTGACTAGTAGTCATGGGGGATAGGGAAGGGTGTTTCTAAATGAACACAGACCCACGGCCGACTACATATTTGTATGTAGGTAAATATGTTTTAAAACGGAATATGCTATCAGGTACTAGGGAACCTTCAAGTTAAAGGTTAATGAAAAATTGTTAATAATGATTCACCTTGGGTGAGAATTATCGGATTTACATGCCAAGGAATATAACCTAACTAGTTAGGGCCACTTGAAAATTCTAAGGAGAATTGACACCCAAGTATGGAAGGAATTGTTAATTCTATGATTACCCATGTAAATGATAATGCATAGGGGCAACGATTATACAATGGCTAAGGTGTTTTATAAAGTGATCAGGTCAACGTAGAGACTTGGAAAAGTGTGTACTCTAAGGATAGAGTGACATCGGTTAAAATGAAATGGCGACGTGAATTTCAGGGACAAAATTCCTGTTGGGGGGGGGGGGGGGTGAACTTGTGACACCGCTCCCAATTTGAACTTGGACTAATTAATCCATTAGTATTAAAATGTATTTGAAAGTACAAATACCAAATTCGATGAGGATGACTAGTCGAGTTCGTGAATATTTATTCACTTTGAAAACTAGTTACAAGGGAAAATGGAAATTAATACCAATGTATTTGAGAGTACACATACCAAATTCGTTTGGGTAGTTCTATTTACCGTCCCCATTTTACTAAACACAGTCACTATATTTAAATTTAAGGGAAAATGGAAATTAATAACCCAACCTGTTGTAATATAATTCCAGCAACAAGAGCTTGATATATCAAATATTCATTGATCATAGGAAAGAAAGTAGTAACAGTATTGTTCATCTCGAAAGGCTCCCCTTTACAAGAGATGTACAAGAGTATTTATAGGCTACATGAACTAGTATTCTAGTATGAAATTGATACAATAACTGCTATTAATTGCATATTAATTCGAATGGCTATGTTGGAATGATAGCCTACCACGTAAGCCCTAGGAATATACCGGACTCACTAGAAATCCGCCCAAGCTCGAGGTCCGCTGTCCAGTCTGGCCTGGTTGTGGGTTCCTTTCGTGGGTTGGATCCATACTTAGGCTCAATGGCTAATTAATATTAATCCCGTGAAGGGTTGATCCCGTTGATGGGCTGATCTCATTGATGGGCTTTGCTTTAACTCAATCTTGGGCCATGGTAATGATCCATGGTACCATACGAGCCCCCCATACTCTCTTGAGCTGACCAGGCTCAACGAAAGAGAGTAATTTGATTCCTTTCTTATTCTTGAAATTCTTCATTCTTTGAGGCGGGCGTGGTGAGATGGAGAGGAGTAGAGTAGTGAATTCCTCGTAATGACTTTTCTAGGGGCTGAGGGTTGTCACCTTTTGTCCACAATGGGGAGGTGCCTCGTTAAAAACCTCACTAAGAAAAACCAAGTGGGAAAAAATCCTAGTGAGGGAAAAAAAGTATTTCGGATGCCCCCAAAATGAAGCAGAAGGGTGAACTCTTTGACCGATGTATTTGGCTGCAATGACCGTCTGATGCATCCGGTCTGTTCTGCCTGTAGCATCATCTTCATTTGATAGAAAACCGAGACAAGCTTGAGAAATCAATATGATAGTCTCTATCCAGATGTACCTATGCATTTAAATAAAATTGTGATAATTTCTGGAGTTTGCTATTGGATTTGAGCCTAAGTAAATGGCCTCAACTTTTCAATATAGATTCCCATGATTAGTAGAGCGTGGCCCATATCTAGGACTCAACTCACCACTCGGGAGTTCGTAGTTTGAATTTGATATTTGGGATGACTAGCCCTACAAGGTCGGAATATGATGTCTAAATAGAGGAGCACACATGACTCATACAAAACACAAGAATGAAAGTATACATTATGTGACATATAGACCGCGAGCTTATAAATCACACTCGTATAATGTGACCCGGTAGTGCGAGTGTTAGTACTCGGTTGGGTGTATTTGTTTGTTCATAAGTCCGTTCTTCAACGTCAAAAAATGCACACTACTCAACAATAAAAAATAATAATGACATAGCTCAACTCATCGCTCGGGATGTGTAGTTTGAATTTGATATTCGAGATGACTAGCCCCCGAGATCAAAGTGATACTATATCAATTATATTTTTTATTATGATTTTGATAATATAAAATTGATTTTTGGAATTGTAATACTTAGTAATATATGAAATTTAAATTTTAAAGTTAAAGAGAACTTAGCTTTTTTGACTTTATAAGTCTCGACCAAGGATCAAACGTGGCAGCAGGCTTTACTCTTCCTCAGCGCATTCTCCTCGGCCCAATATTTTCTTTCTTGCAGTAAATCCAAACGGTGAGTCTACCTTTGTTGACAAGCTGACTTTCTTGGAGGATTTTTCTCCCTCACCGCAAAGTTTACACGCAAATCAGGTAATCCATTCATGAACCGACCAATAATCATCTAGGCCACGAGCAGAGATTTAATTTAGCCAATAATAGCGGAAACCTTGCAAGAGTTCATGACGCTCGCCGGCGGTGATGCCGTAGATTTTCGCTGTTACTGTGCGAGATCGATTTCTCCCACTCCAGACATCTTCTCACGAACATACCTTCAAAATTTCAGCCCGATCCAACGGTGAACGAAGTCGCAGTGATGAAAAACGTGCTGCAGCAGTAGGGTTGTACGAAATTGTTTTCTTCCCTTGGATTATTTCCGTCCTTCGGGGAGTTGACCCCTCTCTTTGAATCTGTGTAGCGTATAAGTTCTGCGATGGCCTTTAAGTCTCCCTCATTGCCTGTTTTCAATCACTCTTATCCTCTATTTATTTTGCCTTGAATTTCCGGTCAAGGTCATATCTGCCTTTAAGTAATGGGCAAGTGAGTTTCTTTGCTGCAACATAGACTGCGAATGCAGTCTTCTCCAGGGCTGGATATCTGAGCTCGGTGCCTGCTGTCCAGGTTGGCTCAGGCGTGTTTGACCTCATGATGGGATTGGATCCTCCTATTTAGGCCCTTGTGACTCATTCTTGAGCCTTATGGAGAGTCTGACCTCCACGGGCTGACCACTGGGCTTTGCGCCTGTTGTCCATGTCGGCTCCGGTGTGGCCAGCCTCACAGTGGGCTCGGATCTCCCTATTCAGGCTTTTATGGCTTCTTCATTAATCCTTCGCCTGTGCTGGACCAGAATTAAGTATTAGTTTCTGTATCCAGGCTACGAGTCAGGCCCATAGTAACATCACGAACATAGACATCGAATGCGGTCTTCTCCAGGGCTGGATATTTGAGCTCATCCCCATGGAGAACCTTGCTGACATAATAGACTGGCCTCTGTGTGGTCCCTTATTCTCTTACTAAAACAGAGCTGACTGCGCTTTGGGAGACTCCCCAGTATAGAGTAAGTGTCTCGCCGACCTCCGGTTTGCTGAGAAGCAGATCTGACTGTAGGTATCTTTTGAGGTCTTCAAACGCAGCTTGTCATTCCTTTTTTATAATGTCGAACACTTCCTTGAGATCATCTGCATGATCGCCTGAGTTTCTACTTTTCATAATCATGTCTTCGACGTATGCCTCTGTGTTCCTTCCCAGTACCGCTCGAAAGACATTGGCCACAATCCTGGTGTAAGTAGCCCCAAAGTTCTTTAATCCGAAAGCCATCACCAGGTAACAAAAGACCCCTTCTGGTGTGATGAACGAGGTCTTCTCAGCATCATCTGGGTGCATGGAGATCTGGTGGTACCCCCTGAATGCGTTCATGAAGGAAAGAAGCTCGCATCTGGCGGTTGGATCCACCATCTGGTCTATACTGGACAAAGGAAAAGGATCCATCAGGCAGGCCTTGTTTAGATCCGTATGGTCTACGCACATTCTCCAGGTAGGTGGCAAAGCCAGAACCACGTTGGCAAGCCATTCCGGATATTGTACCTCCCTGATGTGTCTGATGTCCAAATGACATTTTCACCCCCCATTGACAAATTCCTTCCTGTCCAAGGACAAGTATCTTCCTTTTTGCTTTACGGGAGTCACTCTTGGATCTACGTTCAGTCGGTGGACTGCCATGCTTGAGTCGAGCCCGGGCATATCCTCAGGCTCCAAAGCAAAAACTACCTTGAACTTTTTCAGGACCTAAACTATCCCTGCTCTCAGGTCGGTCGGAAGCCCTGTACCAATCCTGACCCGTCGTTCGGGTTGGGAGGGATCAACTTCGACCTCCTCAAGCTCTGAGACGGGCTGAGCTCTGAACTGCGCTTCCTCATATCTGGACAAATCCTGTTTAATAGCTTGACCCTTATATCGTTCCTCCCGTGAGCCTTGCAGGCCCTTACGTAACAGCTTCTCGCCATCTTCTGGTCTCCCCTTACTGTGCCAATCCCGGCTGGCGTATAGAACCTCATTCACACTACACAATAAAAAATAATAATGATATAGTTTAACTCATCGGAGTCATTGTTCGGGCTGTGTAGTTTGAATTTGATATTCGGGAGGACTAGCTTCCAAGGTCAAAGTGATACTATATCAATTATATTTTTTATTATGATTTTTATAATATCTTTTTATCAAATTTATTTTTGATAAATTGCGTAAAATTCAAGAATACTTAGCTTCACATCATAAGCTTTTACTTTTGATTGATTTTGACTTGGTCAAAATTGTCCCTAAAAGTCTCATCCCATTAGTGACACATATCCTTAGGTCAGCGGAAATAAAGGATTTCCTTGATTCCCTTAGTGGATAGTTGTCCCGCTACCTTGGTTCGTGCCTGGTCATCGGAGTTCCTTTCTCGGTGCCGCCGGCGGAGAGGAGAGGAGCTATGGACCCGCCACCTGTTAGGATTGGAAAATTCTTCTATTCATAACCAGAACAGAATTACAATAGGAGGAGCAACTCTCTCACTCAATTATTACAAAAAACCAACCCTTTCATACACTCACACTCTGTGTATTGCTCTCTATATTTCTCTCTGATTTTTTGATGCATTTGAACAATGGAAGAGCTTCCTATTTATAGGCAGGGCTGGAGACATATTCATTGATGTCCATATTGTAGCCCATGCCTCTCAATGCTTCTCTTTAATGGCTAAGAATGGAGCACCACTCTATTGAGGTATGGAGGATGGAGTGGGCTTGATAGGAGCTGGAAGTCTACAAATCTCCCCCTCTAGCTTCTTCCGTAATTCTCTCATTCAAATGATGCATGTATATAGCTCGTGCTTCTCGTGTGGTACCACTTTAGTTAGCATGTCTGACACATTTCTGTTCGTGTGTATCTTGGAGAGCTTCAGTTCATCTTCCTCAATTGCTTCTCTAAGCCAGTGATATCGTACATCGATATGTTTTTTGCGTGAATGATACATCGAGTTCTTACTAAGATCCATAGCACTCTGACTATCACAATGAATGATGTACTCCTCTTGAGGAAAGCCCAACTCTTGGAGAAAACGTTTTAGCCACTTGAGCTCCTTCCCAGCTTCAATAGCGACAATGTATTCAGCTTATGTCGTAGACAATGCTACACACCTTTGCAAAACAAATGGGTTTTTAAGGTGAAGAAAGATGACAAGGGTAATATTGTGAAACATAAGGCAAGACTCATGGTCAAAGGATTCCAACAAAAACAGGGAATTGACTTTGATGAGATATTTTCGCCGGTTGTGAAGATGATGTCAATCAGGGTTGTACTCGGGTTGGTTGGTAGTCTAAATCTTGAACTTGAACAGATGGATGTGAAAACATCATTTCTCCATGGTGATCTGAAAGAAGAAATATACATGGAGCAACCCGAAGGTTTCCAAGTTCCAAAGAAAGAACATCTTGTTTTCATGTTAAAGAAGAGCCTCTACGGCCTCAAGCAAGCCCCGAGAAAATGGTACAAGAAGTTCGACTCATTCATGATGAAGCACCAATACAGGAGAACAGTTGCAGACCACTGCGTGTACCTGAAGAAGTTTACAGGTGGAAAATTTATCATCCTTTTGCTCTATGTGGATGATATGCTGATAGTAGGCCAAGATGTGACCCTCATCAACAACTTGAAACAAGATTTGTCTAAATTTTTTGACATGAAAGAATTGGGCCCGACACAACAAATTTTGGGCATGAAAATTGTTCGTGATCGGAAGGCAAGGAAGTTGTTCTTATCACAAGAGGAATATGTTGAACGCGTGATCCACAAGTTCAACATGGATAGTGCCAAGCCTCTAGGCACTCCGCTAGCCAATCACTTCAAGTTGAGTAAGGAAAGTTGTCCTTCTTCTGAGAAAGAAAAGGAGATGATGAAAGCGGTGCCCTACTCTTTAGCCGTTGGAAGTTTGATGTATGCAATGGTGTGTACAAGACCTGATATTTCTCATGTTGTTGGTGTTGTAAGCAGGTTCTTGTCAAATCCAGGATGAGAACACTGAGAAGCTGTCAAATGGATACTCAGGTTCTTGGAATGAGAGAATTACGGAAGAAGCTAGAGGGGGAGATTTGTAGACTTCCAGCTCCTATCAAGCCCACTCCATACCTCCATAGAGTGGTGCTCCATTCTTAGCCATTAAGGAGAAGCATTTAGAGGCATGGGCT